CTAACAGAATGAAATCCAGATTCTTTCTATGGTACACAAGTCACTGAGTCTCCAGTCCTATCCCTAAACTCCAGCCAAGCTGAACTACTTTTTGCACTTGCAGATGACTTAATACCCGATATTGTTTCACAATCCTCTGTCTTTGCTCACATAGTCTTATATGTCTAGAAAATACTTCACATCTGTTTGTGTGTCAGCGAAGAATCTGTCTGGCAATAAATAACAGAAAAGCAACTTGCAGTTGCTTAAGCAAATAAGCTAGAAGTTTGTAGGTTGACATTCCAAGGTTGAGGCAATTGCTCAATACTGCTGGCAGGAACCAAATCTCTTGGCTTTGATTAGCGTGCAAACCTCTATCTGTCTGCTCTTTGCTTCTTAATGCACTGGATTGCTAAGTTGGTTTGAACTGCAAGGTTGGCAGCTCAGCTTCACCAGCCACTCCTCAGAAGTCCTATACAGAGCCACTATGGGTCAAAACTGACTCAATGGTGCTTAACAACTATTGAAAGCAAGCATCACATCAATTTTTCAGGCAAGAAGAAGGTAGAAAGACATTCACTGATATGTTATTTGCTTTCACCAAGAAAGCAAGAGTTTTCCCTAAGTCCCACCCAACAGTTTTCCACTTAGATTTCAATGGCCAAACTATACCAAATAGGCATACCTAGTTCAAAGATGGCTTGGGAGAATGATGCTGTGTCGAGCAGGAAACTGTATTCAGCCAATAAACAGTGTCTGCCATTGGCTTGGGAAATATCTTCTCATATTTTGATATTCAACTCAAAAGTTCAATCTTAGAAGTTAAGAAATATAAATATATATTGTTATTGTTGTTAAGTACCATGAAGTTAGTTTCAACACATAGCAATCCTGCATAGGGTTGCCATGGAGCAGCCATACTAGGACTCTGTTTTAATATATATGTACATACGTGTATATGCATATGTGGATGTATATATATATACATATACATATATATATGGAGCTCTGGTAGTGTAATGGTTACGCATCGGGCTGCGAACCTCAGGATTAGCAGTTCGAAACTACCAGTGGTTCCACAGGAGAAAGATGAGGCTTTCTGCTCCCGTAAAGATTTACAGCCTCGGAAACCCTGTACAGGGTCGCTATGAGTTGGAACCGACTCCCTGGCACACAACAACAATATATATATAAAACCTTTTCATTAACTGAAATATCAGGTATATATGTGTATACCAAGCATTAGAGATATATCAGATGTTGTTCTGGGTGGAGTCCCTGGATGGTACAACCAATTCAGTGCTCAACTGTACATACAAACATGTGCACACGTGCATACACACACATACATGTTTTTCATTCACCAAAGGAAAATTCACTCTGTGACATAATCCCTGATTTGCACCATAATCAAAAAGAAACTGCAGGTAATTTAAAATATAGAGAGCAAATATTTAAATTAGGAGACTGTTTTTACAATTTATGTATATGTTGTTGTTGTTAAGTGCCATTGCGTCAGCTCCAACTCATAGCGACCCTGTATAGAGTTTCTAAGGAATGGCTGGTGGGTTTGAACCACCGACCCTGAGATTCAATTTCTAACCAGAGTAAACAAACAAACTCATAAGTAAAGTTAGAGTGCAAACAACAGACAGAGTTTCTACAAGTGGCACTGATGTTGGAAATCACTAGCAAAAATGACCTTAAAAAAGAAAAGAAAAATGGAACATGCTTTCTATCAGACTGATAGAACTTTGTAAGATGAGTGGTAGGAAAATACATACTTTTATGGGGATTGCTGGTGAAAAGGCAAATTGCCAGTCATTTTATAGATGATATGACACCATCTATAAAATCTTTTAGGAGCTCTGGTAGCGTAGTGGTTACAAATCGGGCTGCAGACCTCAAGGTCGGCAGTTCAAAACTGCCAGCTGTTCTGCGGAAGAAAGATACGGCTTTCTGCTTCCGTAAAGATTTTCAGCCTCGGAAACACTGTACAGGGTCGCTATGAGTCGGAATCGACTCCATGGCACATAACAACAACATAAAATCTATTAATATATGTACTCTTTGACGTATCAAATTGACAGTATAGATTTAGCATACAAAAATACCTACATATGCCAAAAAAAAATACGTGCATGTAATGATGGTCATTGAATTTTATTGTCTATAGTAAATTGTTTTAGCTAAGTGCTAATTCCTCTGTATAACAGCTTTGTTGTTGTTGCTAAGTGCCGTCAAGTCAGTTTGGGACTCATACCAACACTGTATAGGGCATCCAAGGAGCAGCTAGTGAGTTTGAAACACCAATGGTTCAAACCTACCTTGTGGTCCAGTGATTCATCCCACAGCACCACACCAGGACTCCACATCACAGCTAGTCTATACTAAAATTGAGTATTTGTGGTTAGCAGTGCTCTTTAGAAATCCAAAGGAGAAAGTAGTTTTAAATTTAAAGGTTAAACTCTTATTAATTTTGTTTTATAATATTAGAAGCTATGGCACTGAAGGATAAGCACTGGACTACTAATCAAGAGGTCGACTGTTCACACCTACCAGTCACTCTTTGAAAACCCTATACAGGTCACTATGAGTATGAGCTAACTTGACAACACTAAACTACAACAGTATGATAAGCAAATTATTTCAATAGCAGTAATCTGAGAATTTGTTATGCCTTTTGCTTTGTTCATTCACATATTTGTCTCATTCAGAATTAGAGAAAATGAAAAAAAAAATTAGGAAACACAAGTTAATGAGAAAGCACAAGTGAGAAAAACTAAACTTAGAGAAAACCATCGCTACAGATACATATTTTTCTAACTCCAGGTTTTGCCCAAGATACTTCATTCAAAGATAAAGCGCACACACACTGTAGTAGGATGAAAATGGCTGTGCCATTCCGGAGTATTCTCACTTTGAAGATGGTTAATATGTAACCAGCTGACATGGCCTTCATTATTACTATTATCAGGAACTGCACATAGACTAAAAGTCCTCTTTTTTTCAGGCAAAGTGAACTAAGTGTACAATTATTGCAGTTAGGGAGTTCTATGTTGTTCCCGGATATGCAGTTCCTACAGCAATACAATACAAGGGGGAAGTACATTTCTATTTGTTTTTAATAGGGCCCATTTACTGCCTGATCTTAATTTTTTCTCATTTCTGAAACACTTCTGACATTCTGAAATATATGGCATATATTTTCTTGCCTGTTGCTTTCCTGCTTTCTTTCTCTTTCCCTACTTTCCTTTCTCTCTTGCCTTTCCCCCTCGGCTTTCTAACAGTAATGACTTGCTAAATACATCAGAACCTGTCAACAGGTGGGCTCCCTTTTCTGCCAGGCAACCTAAGATGTTGATTTCCTGGAAATGGTGAGTGATGCTTGTCCCTATACAAAAACCAAGAGCTAATATGAAACAGCCCCCCTCCTCAGTCATTTAAGATATAAATATTATCTTTCACTTGCATAGTATGTTTTACCATTTCAAATATTCCATCACATGCAGCTTCACGCAATGAAGCTGACAGTAAAAATATTACTACCAAAAGCAAGAAACGATTATTATTACCACCAAAATTGGTAGATTCATGGCAAATTGATGTATACAGAGTAGAACTCTGACCTTTGGAAAACAAATCACTAGCCCTCTCTTCAAGGCACTTCTGGGTGGCTTCAAGCCCCCATGCCAAAAGTAAATTGCCCAATAAGCAAGGAAAGCACAGACTTACTTGTATGTATTACTAATCTGTAGTGAACAATTTCACATCAAAGATGTGATGAAAAACATGTGAAACTGTTCACTACATATTAACATTGTTGTTGTGAAGTGCTGTCGAGTCAGTTCCGACCCATAACAACCCTGTATAGGGTTTCCAAGGAGCAGCTGGTGAGCTTGAACTGCCAACCTTGCAGTTCAAACGGCTTTGCAGTCTGGCGCATTAGCCCACAGCACCACACCAGGACTCCATATTAATAAGTAAGCACAAATAAGCCCGCATTCACTGCTTATTGGGTTCGTCCCTGTCTGGGATTGCAAATTGAAAAGAAGCTTTCATTCTATAGGAAGATGCTATGGGGGTGGGAAAGAGACAGATGCGAACATTACTTAAAAGCAGTATCTTTGATGTGGTAAAAACAATGTGAAATTGTTCACTACAGATTAGAAAGTAAGCACTTGTGCTAATCTTGCTTACTGGATAACCCACTACTGCCACCAGCCTTTCAGTTCTTAGTTGAGTGCTTAACGGTTTGCACACCCAGGGTCTCGTACAGATATTATTACCCTCCCATGCATTAGCAAGGAAGCTGAGCTCAGGAACATTAACGGAGTTACTCAGAATCCTATTGCTGAGCCAGAACTATGACTCCCGTGTCCTGTCAATTAGCCCAGTCTTTTTTCCCCTCAGTCATTTTTCTTCTCCCAAAGAAGAGAAGGCTTTGTTTTTTAAGAAGGGAACATTTTACATAAAATGTAACTCTTTCTGGTTATGCTGAAAGTAGAGCCACTAATTCTTCCATCCATGATCTTAATACAGATATCCACTCCACATGCCTTTGTGTCTGCTCTCTTTAGATAAGCATATCTCACCACAGGAAGTTCAACCTCTCCCTTGCTTCTCCCACTCAGCATTGACAGAAGCTAACATTTCACTTCAATTTGTCCAAGTCTCTCTCCCTTTAAAGAAATTTCCCATTCTGGAAGATATCTTTGCCAAGTACATCCGTATTCAGACAAACTCTCAGAAACTGCCTTTGGTTGCTCCTAGAACCCTCATTTCTTAACCAGCTGTCATCGGGCTTCTGCAAGACACAGCCACGGGAATAGCTGGGTCTCAATGCTTGACTGTAACTAGGCTGTCACTGAGAGCAATGACCCTTCCAGAAAATGATTAAAAACCTCAACTTTGTTCAGAAACCTTGTGTGGGTGGAACTTCCTGTTTACACAGAGTGTGCTGCTTAAAGCCCAGTTGTTCAGAGGTGTTTTTGGTACTAGACCCAGTGCAGGGAGTAAAGTACAAAATGATCCGGACTCCTTGGGTCCCTTCTCCCTACAGCATGGCGAAGAACAAACTTCTTAATCCAAGTCTAACTTTCCTCCTCCTGGTCCTGGTGCGCATAGCCACTGGAAACCCGTGAGTTTCACACAAAGCTTGAATTTCAAGAGTCTTTTCTTTTATTTCAGATTTCCCTTTTATATCATTTATTTTTTTCTTTGAAACTGCTACTTTTCTTTTCTCTAATATTCCTTTTTAAAAGTGATTATCAAATGTAACTCTGATTTACTGATTCTTCTCTTACTCTTTACCATCTCCTTCTGACTCTGGATCTCTGGATCTTTACATTTCTATTTAAGATGCATCAGAAATTGATACTTTTGAGGGAATCAGGTTCCAGACCCTCAGGATACATGCTCACATAAATATTTGTGCTTAAGACTATGCTGTTTACCCTTTCTAACTTTCCCTCAACTAGCCATCTTCCACTTTATAAAAGGAAGACAAGTCTCTTCCTCAATCAGATTTTACTATGGAGTATTGACTTGGGGTATAAAACCCTCAAGCATCCCAAATAAGGCACAATTTGAAATACTGAGGTTGATGATAGGAAAGTGAAGGATTCTAATGGTGGGGGAGAAAATCCTCCTTCAGGACAAATCTTTTGCCCCAACAAACTTAAAAGACTTGAAGGAAATATCACCTCATAGATTATTAAAAGTACTTCTTTATAATGGGGCACAGAGTGATTTTCGGCATATAAGGCAGGAGTTGTAAGGTATGGATGACAAAGATACAATGATTTTACCTGTCATTTACTTGCTTATTTCTGTGAACAGTTTTCCTCAGTACTTTCATCTACAAACGCCAAAATAAGAATCAGAATTAATAGTAGACCCTGTATTATTCTTGCAATAGAAAACATTCATTTATACATACATAAATTGATTGGGTTAAAAAAACAAAAAAGACCCAGCTTATCATTATCACTAAAAATGTGCTTCAAAAGTTCATCTTGATATTATTTAATAAGTATAAGTATGAATCAGAGTTTATATGTATTTTCTTTTGATCAATTGTATACAATTATTGTTGTTGTTATGTGCCGTGGAGTCGGTTCCGACTCATAGCGACCCTGTACAGGGTTTCTGAGACTGTAAATCTTTACAGGAGCAGAAAGCCTCATCTTTCTCCCATGGAACAGCTGGTAGTTTCGAACTGCAGACCCTGAGGTTAGCAGCCTGATTCGTAACCACTACGCTACCAGAGTTCCTAATTGTATACTAGTAAGACTTAAAAAAAATTCAATCCTGAAGAAAAATTTAGCATTCAAAACATTATAGTCACATGAAATTTAAAAGAAGACTTACCATTAAATTTGTACATCTACATATAATCTAAAGAAGACCTGGTAAAGCAGTGGATTATGTGCTGGATTTCTAATTGCAAGGTCAGTAGTTTGAATCTACCAGTCTCTCTTTGGGAGAAAGGTGAGGCTTAATCTCCCATAAAGATTTACAGTCTCAGAAATGCTATACAGGGTTGCTGAGTCAAAACCGGCTTGGTGACACATAACCACCACCACCACCACATGTAATATTACATATATGTATACGTGTATATTGTTGTTGCTGCTGCTAAGTGCCGTCGAGTCAGTCCTGAATAGGGTTTCCAAGGAAAAGCTGGTGAGCTTGAACCGAAGGCCTGACAGTTCAAACCAACTTTTTGCAGTCTGGCACATCAACCCACAGCACCACACCAGGACTCCATGTGTGTATACTATGTACATATATGTGCTAAGAAAGAAGTAAGAGTGGCTCATAGGAGACTCTGAAGCATAAAAGTCTTACAATAAATTTTTGTGTGGTAAGTGGCATGGAAATTCAAGTACAAGAAGGAAAAATGGCAAAATGTGATCTTTCTGACCATTAAAAAAAGAACTTTTAATGTATTTTTAAATAGATTATATCACTATGGTACTTAAGATTCCATGAGAACCTTATCAAATCTTAGTAGAAGTTGTAACTTAAATGCTATAAGAAGTAACATCTTTTGTTGTTATTTAAACCTGTGATTACAAAATATATGTTTACTTGAAAATATGAAAATAGTGCACAGTGTAAAAAAAAAAAACTATTTTAGGAATTATGTGAACAAAAATGTTTGAAAACTACAGGGCCAATCTTGTGTTCTGTTGTTGTTGTTGTTGTTAAGTGCCATGACCCTGTATCTGGTTTCCAAGGAGCCCTGGTAAATTTGAACCACCAACCTTGTGGTTAGCAGTCCAGTCATTCATACTTATCCTACAGCACCACACCAGGACATGAGGGTATTAGGAAAGTTTCTGTTTTGTTCATGAATTACTAAGGTCCAAAATTTAACCACTAGTGGATCATTCTTTGAGTGAAGCCATTGTCTAGACATAAATAGAAAGGCAAATATTTAAATGCAAACATCCATGATTAGGTAACACACTAAGATTTGATTAGTTGCTTATCACAATTGAGACTTTAAACTCTAAACTTAGTGACTCACTCCTTTTGAGTCTCAGATTCTTCATCTATAAAATGAAAGGAAATACTTGCCATATCATTTTCACAAGGTTGTCAGATATATTGTTGTTGTTATTAAGTGCCGTCAAGGCGGTTTCGACTCATAGCGACCCTGTATATGGTTTCCGAGAGCAACTGGTGGGTTCAAACTGCCAAGATGATGCTGTAGGGATTCTATGAGTCAGTTGGTTTTGTAGTGTGCACACACCTAAGAGTTTTCTTTTTAAAACAATCCTAATGTAAAATCAATTTACAACATGATTAAATATAACTAACTTTTAACATTTGAATTCAGATGCTTACGTATCGGCATTCCTTAAAGTCAGGTGTTTGTTGTTGTTGTTTATGTTAAGTGCCGTCAAGTCGGTTCCGACCCATAGCGACCCTGTACAGGGTTTCCGAGGGTGTAAATCCTTACGGGAGTAGAAAGCCTCATCTTTCTCCCATGGAGCGGCTGGTAGTTTCGAACCTCTGACCTTAAGGTTTGCAGCCCGATTCGTAACCACTATGCTACCAGAGCTCCTTATAGTCAGGTGTTTAATACTTCTTAAATATTTTTAAAACCCACATCAAGTGAAATGTTCACTACATGGCACTGCTGATGGAAAGGAGAAATAATTCAACAGAAGAGATTAGTTTCAGATTCTCAATTCAAATCTAATGATGTTAACAGTCATTTTGTAGAAAACAGTGCTATTAGTAATAATGTCTTTCCTCTAACTGAGTTCTACCTCCCCTACCATTCCAGGCAATATATGGTGCTGGTCCCCTCGCTGCTCCATACTGAGACCCCCGAGAAGGGCTGCCTCCTTCTGACTCACCTGAATGAGACAGTGACTGTAAAGGCTTCCTTGGAATCCATCAGGGGAAACAGGAGCCTCTTCACTGACCTTACAGTGGAGAAGGACTTATTCCATTGCATCTCCTTCACAGTGAGTACTGCATTTGATTTAATATACTCTGGTCTAGTGGGCAGCTGGACCTGGCATGTCGCTGTAGGATAAGCACTGAACCACTAACTGCTGGGTCGGCGGTTCAAACCCACCAGTGGCTCCTTGGAAATTGCTATCCCAACTCAATTGCAGTTAACATTGGGGATGTAGTTAGTGTTCCATCAAGGAAAGGCTTGAGAAGCTATAAGGACTTCAGGAAGGAATCTAAATTCTGCAAAAATTATAATAATTAAGGAAATTTTTTATGTTTTTCTGTCACTACTTTTTCTTTCCCCTATGAATTGCAAAGCTAAGTTTAAAAGATTACAACTACAAAAAACATTAATAATCAAAGAAAAATTATATTTGCCAAAAAGCAAACAATACTGTTAATCAGAAAATGTGACTTAAAAGAAAAATGAAAAAATCATTAATAAAACAAATTAGACCAAGGCTCAACATGAGCCACCAGTGTGGTGAGCTGCTATGAACACACTGTCTGAGTGGGGAAGGGTGGAGTGGGGAGTGGCAATCACTTGTACAAATTTTATGTAATGCACTGCTTTGTAAAAGTGTTAGAAATGAATTTCAGCAGGTAATAATGTTATAGTGAATAATACCCTCTACCAACACTGTACTTTGGACATGTTGTCTGGAGGGACCAGTCCCTGGAGAAGGAAATCATGTTTGGTAAAGTGGAGGGTTAGAAAAAAAGAGGAAGACCCTAACTGAGATGGATTGGCACAGTGGCAGCAGCGATGGGCTCAAATGTAGCAACAAATGTGAGGTTGGCACAGGACTGGGCAGTGTTTCATTCTGTTGTGCATAGGGTCACTATAGAGTCAGTACCGACTCGATGGCACCTAATAACAACAACAACAAACACTGTGATGCTCCCTCTCTCCAAAATATTGATCCTGGTCCTAGGAACCAGAGTAAGTCAAAAGAGGGCTCTCTCTTCTTGAGGTAAAATGAATTGTAGAGTCCTGAGAGGTCACTTACTCAGCATAGAGAACAGCCACTTGTATGAATATAAATCATGATGAGGACTGGAGGGGCTACTCCAGTTTGTGATCCATTTTTAAAAACAAATGATACCCTATTCTATAATTGTGGCAGCTTTGAAAATTACATTTTCCTGGAAATTTGCCAGCCACTGCTACCCAGATTTTGATTGTACCCTTCCTCTCACCCATCCATCTTTTCTGTACTTTGTTCTGGGAAGGTGTGGCAGCTGGCTCAGAGTTTTGGAGTTTGTTCTTTTAATGGGCAAGCACTCCGGTTTTCCTTTCCATGAAGGTTGTTTCAGCCACAAACTACTTTAATTTAAATTCCACTGTTTTAATTTCAAAATAAAAGGAAACACATATAAACAAAAACCAAAAATAACTTACATCACCTTGCATTCTTTCTAATAGTGAAAGTTGTAGAAATTTCCCCGAGCAAATGTCCAATATTGCTTCATAATTGCCCACGTGGGTTGCTTGCAGCCTACCTCCAATAAAATATTGTCATTTTCTTTCTCACAGTCTTAAGACATATGTCTGTTCCTGCTCTTTTAGCATGTCACATCAACTTGGAAAATTTCACTGCAAAATTAAGTCAATACTGTATTGACTGAGTTATATGGAGATGTAGTTCTCATTTTATAGCCTTTCTTGTTGATGTATTTTCTTCTACCTTGTGTTCTGATCCCCGTTTGCAAAATGAAATGGGAGAGGGAATTCGTATCCATGTTGTCTTCCCTGGTAAGAATGAGGGGAGGGAGTGGTGTTAAATTAAAAAGGATAAGATCTTCAGGGATCAGTGGAGTAGAAATTGGGAAAGGAGACTTGAGAGGCTAAATGGGTTCTCAGGGCCTGTCTCCCATTTCAGATCCCAAGATCTTCAGCCAGTGAAGAGGTAGTGTTCCTGTCTGTCGAAGTGAAAGGACCAACCCAAGAGTTCAAGAAGAAAACCACAGTGTTGGTTAAAAATGAAGAGAGTCTGGTTTTTGTCCAGACAGACAAACCTATCTACAAACCGGGGCAGACAGGTATAAAAAGACCTATAGTCAAGATAACATAAAAAAGAAAAAAATTTCCTCCCCTGCATATTCCCCAGTCAAAGTTCCTAGAATTCCAGTATCTTAATACCTTGCCTTACTGACCTATAAGCCCAGGTTAGGGTTTCTGGTACTCATGGAAAATCTTTTTATTTTAGTGAAGTTTCGTGTGGTCTCACTGGATGATAATTTTCACCCCCTGAATGAGTTGGTAAGTTGCCTATAACCTACGTAAAATCATTATTATCTGTATAAATAGGCTGAGAGTCTGTTTGGGGTTTTCTTTCAGGAAAAGAAAGAATCTGAAATCACTGACAGTAATTTCTGGCATCATAATAGTGCAAGATTCTCATGCAAAGCATCACATAGGCTCAAGAGAGGAATTACTTTTCTATCTTGATGCCAGTTACTTAGGCAACTGTCTCACAACTAAACTTACTCAATTAGGCATATCAGAAGTATGTGTAATTAGAGTCCTGGTGGTATAAGAATTAAGTGCTAATCGAGAGGTTACTGGTTCAAACCCAGCCCTTGCCATCTTCTTCTGTAAACGATTAGTCATGAAAACCCTATGGGGGTGGTTCCACCCAGTCACATGAGATCACTCTGCGTAAGAAGCTACAGTGTTTAAGGAGCTCTGGTAGCGTAGTGGTTACGATTCGGGCTGCGAACCTTAAGGTCAGCGGTTTGAAACTACCAGCTGCTCCGCGGGAGAAAGATGAGGCTTTCTACTCCCGTAAAGATTTACACCCTCGGAAACCCTGTATAGGGTCGCTATGGGTCGGACCCGACTCAACGGCACTTAACAACAACAACAACAACCAACATTTTAAATAACAGACCAAGCTAAACCATCAAAGCACTTTTGTTCAAATAATTTCTCCAAGATTTAGATTTTTTTCTAAACACGCCTACCAAAACCTCTGTTACTAAGATGATAATCAATGTTTGCTCCTCAAGACTAACATATCATTTTCATGATAAGAAACAACTCTTTCTATTATAATGCAGACATCAAACTAAAGTTTGGATTTTTCCCTGAAAATGTGCTCCTTCACCATGTTTCTTATCTCAAGAGGGAATTCTTTATTCTAGCTCCCGAGGCAAAAGATTATGACATAATTCTTGCTTGTTCTGTTTTTCTCACAATCATATCACATCCACTTCATCAGGTAAAGCATGTTGAGTCCTGGTGTGGTGCTGTTGGATAAGCGCTGGTCTGCTAACCACAAGTTGGGTTCAAACCCACCAGTCACTTCTTGGAAACCCTAAACTCCTACCATGAGTTGGAACTGACTTAACAGCACTTAACAACAACAACAACAGCAAGTCCGAGGAAGAAGACCTGGTGTGCTTCTGTAGGATAAGCACTGGGCTACAGGTGCATTTTTAACCACAAAGTCAACAGTTGAAAACCCTAAGCAGTGTTGCTATGAGTCGGAACCAACTACACTGCAGTTAACAACACAAGTCCTAGTAAAGGGTCCTGATGTGGTACTGTAGGAGAAGCACTGGACTGCTAACCACCAGATTGGTGGTTCAAACCCACCATCCACTCCTCAGAAACACTATGGTTTTTGACTCATAGGGTCACTATGAGTAGGAACTGACTGTACAGCACTTAATAACAACTGTCCTAGTAAACTTCAGGTCTAAAAGACTATTGTGTTGTAGACCATGTAAGACTAGTCAGAGGTTCGAGGCCCTCTAGGGCCGAGTGTAACAAATGAGGCCACTGGCAGTTAATGGCAAATTGCTTTCATATTAATATTCAGGTATATATATTAAATTAATACACTGGAGCCTTTGACAATCCACAGATAAATGTGATATTTTCCTAAAGCC